TAATTTACTTCTCTCTCTCTCTCTCTCTCTCTCTCTCTCTCTCAGTTTCACTTTTAACAGAAAGTAAAAATATTAATTGTAATAACTATATATTATTTTTCAAAATATTTCTAAGTTATTTCGGAAGTGTGTTGTAATTGAAAAAGATTTTGAAATATGTATTTATGACGTATGTAATTATCATTATATATACTTTTTTTTAAATTAACGCTACTAATTATTAAAGCAAAGAAAAATTCTATTTTTCGTGGATTTTAAGTGATGTATAGGGAAGATTTGTGCACATTACTAACACTGTTGCAAAATAATATCACACGAAGTTCAATGTCATTTGAAATGTGATAATTGATAATTCTTATATGTAGCAATGTGCGTTGCATAATAAGTTAGAAATGGTACATAATGACAAAAAATACATAGTTACAAAAAATAGCAAAGCTGATATTTTGTATGATTTTATCAACAATTTAACGGATCGCAGTAATTAAAATCGTCTTCCGATAGATTTATTTTTAGGCTATTTATTTTGGAAACGTAGGTTATGAAACATGCATATTCGAGGGAAATTAAGGCATTTAAAAGATAGGTGTACAGATAAGAGTTATATTTTACAAAGTAACTCATTACCAATGCATGCGAGTGATAATAGGAAACTTTTGAAAATATATCTTCATATACTTCACTATTATTCGGCAAATAATATACACGATGCGTTTGGATAATTACTTGCATTTTTTAAATGCACGCGAGAATGAGATAATTTTAGTAAGTTTTTATTTGTTTATTGTCAGAACATCATTTCTGACACGAATCGATAATTGTACTGTATATCCATTGATCTTCTCATTCGAATTCAATCTATATAAGCAGTTTTCATTTAATTGATCTTTTTATTTTGATAAAATTTTTGAGCGCAGAAGAGAAATGTTATAACATTATAATTAAAGCGACATTGAAATACAGGCTGAAGAACGTGAGTATTTAATGTCACGTTTCGTCCATGTGGCTCAAAGTATATTCCCAAATGACGTCATATTTAATGTTTGATAAATACGTTTTTATGACTATTATAGAAACCCATAGAAATATACATAGAAATATACAATTAGCAACGTTTGAGTAACTAACGAAAGAAAATCGTCACGACCATACGTCAGATAGTTTATTTCTTTTATCGATAAAATAAAAGATATTGATGACACATACTGTAATATATTGACATAAAATCAAATTTACAAATGATATTTAAATATTATTTAAATAAATATATATTGTGATTTAAATTCATTGCATTATAATGCAGTAAAAAGGATAATAATTTCTATATTTGTCAATTTGTTTGCATCAAAATAATTAGATTAAATTATTCCCACTTTTTCTTTTTTCTTTTTTATAAAACTTTGAAAGATTTCGAACCTTTTAAATTCGCTTTTCTTCTCAAACATTCGTTGTTTGATCAAACTTTCTTGTTTACCGATATTTAAGGACTCGTTTATCACATGGGCTTTTAAACAATACATTTTTCATTCCAAGAACATGAACCTTTTTTTACGGCCCTGGTTTCAATTCACACGCATTTTTTCGCACAAACGTTACACAAACACACACACACACACACACACAACAACACACACACACACACACACACACACACTAACT